GCGTATTGTGGCCTCCTTCAGAGCGTACTGCTGCCAGATGGTTAGCGCGCTGGCCTTATATGGAGGAGAAGGAAAGGGCGGGATTGGTCAGGTAGCCGACCAATAGGAAGCGGTCAGGTGGCTCGGGATTGGACCCACCAATCATGTGACCTATCGTGAGATAGAGACAACCTTAGGCATTATTGGGACCACCATATATTCAGTATTGCATGAACATTTGACTGTCAAAAAAAGATTGTTCGCGTTGGATACTATACAATTTGGCAATCGCTCAAAAAAAGGCTCGTTTCGGTTGGTCGAAAGAAATGCTAAAAAATACGATCGCGGTGCTTCGAACACGTCTATGACATCGTGACAGGTGATGAATCGTGGATTTACGCGTTTGAGCCCGAAAGTAAACAGCAGTCGACTGTATGGGTGTTTCAAGATGAGCAAAATCCAACAAAAGCGTGTTCGCGCACGAAGCACTTCCAAAACGATGGTCGCCTGTTTTTTTTGAAAATTCACCGATTGTTTGCTAGATGTCTTCCAAGAAATCAGGAAAACCAACCGCCGAGACGATCATCTCTCCCCATGACAATGCGCTTCACACATCGCTCAAACAACTGCATTTTTGAGCACCAAAACATCGATTTGATGATTCATTCGCCGTATAGTCCTGGCTTAGCACCGAATTACTTATTTTTATTTCCGCACGTAAAAACAACTGAGAGGTCAACGTTTTCGACGCTGAAGAAAGCGGTTGCTGCATTCAGAATGCATGTTTTTGAAATAACCCAATCAGATGCAAAAGTGCATACTACATTGGTTCAAATACATCGAAAGTGTATAATCTTCATGGGAACATTGTAAAAACAAAGTGATTTTCGATTATTAATATTTGTTTTTGTTCTCCAATTCTGAAATATAAAAGGCAACCCTCGTACAATATGCAGGATTTTGCTTAAGTCTTCAACCAACACTTTTTTAGAATTGCGGCTGAACTCACGAAGGGACTAAAAAAGTCAAATTCAACATCATTTCCTTCCCAAAATATTTCGACACAATTTTTATTTCCGAAACTACTTCTAACAAAATCTTACAAATAGTCAGTGAACTAAAAAAAATATTCATCTGGTTTAGATGAGTTTCCAGATTGTTTATTGAAAAATTGTGTACCTGCCTTTATACACCCGTTAACTTACATTTTCAATGCTTCTTTATGCACAGGAATATTTCAAAATGTTTTAAAAACAGCAAAAATTAAGTCACTTTTTAAAAACGGGAGCAAAAATGAAATTGAAAATTACCGACCAATTTCTCTTTTGTCAGGTTTCTCTAAAATATTAGAGAAGTTTTTCAATACGCGAATGGAAACTTTTCTCAGGAAAAACGAAGCGTTTTCAGTCTCACAACACGGATTTAGAAAATCAAAATCTACGGAAACTGAATTTTTTTTCTTTTCTTAAAGATGTTGCTTCATCAATGGACCAAAATGAAGCACCCATTGGAATATTTTTAGATCTTTTGAAAGCTTTTGATATTATTGACCATAACGTCTTGCTATCAAAATTACTTTCTTATGGAATTCATGGTATAGCCCTAGATTGGATAACTTCGTAACTCAAACATCGATCTCAAAGAGTAGAAATACCGTACTGGCACGAAAGGACATTATTTACTAATCTTTCCCATTCTTTACCAATTAAATATGGGGTTCCGCAAGGCTCGATCTTAGGTCCTATCCTCTTCCTGTTATACGTGAACGGTATGCGTCGTCTGTTAAAAACGGAAGAACGGATATGTTTGCCGATGACACGAATGTTCTTTGCAGAAAAGAAACAATAAATAGTGAGATTTTAGAAGTTTCAAATTAGTTTTGTAATAAAAGATTAATAGTTAATGAAGGAAAAGCAGTTTCAATGCATTTTTGCATTTCAAATCAGCAATCGCATGCTTCATTGAAAATGAATAATATGCAATTAGGTGCTGTTCAGGTAACAAAATTTCTAGGTCTGTCAATTCAGTCAAACCTCAAATGGAGTGTAAATATAACAAAATTAAACACTAAACTCTATGTTATGGTTTCATAATTCTATCAAGTTCTGTCAGTCTTCATGCAGCTCGTTGCGTGTATTTTGCAAATGCTTATTCCCGCCTGAGATATAGTATAATATTCTGGAGAAACTCATCATGTAGTACTCAGACTTTTAGATTGCGAAAGAAAATTATTTGAGTAATGAAAAAATGCCATCCGCGTTACCCTTGCAATCCTTTCTTCAATGAGCTTGGAATCTTACTACTGCCTTGCTTATACATTTACAAATCGGTAATATTTGTCAAAAGCGACTTATTTAACGGTGGGAACATATTTTCATGCAATACTGGTATGTGTAATTACAAATCTTCGTAAAAATCACGTTCATCAAGTGTCAGTATTAACAGCTCACTATCAGAAATTCACATTCAATACATACGTTACTTTACAACGCACTGCCGGATGACATTGAACAATTGAAGTCGGTTCAAAAATTTAAGTTAAAGTAAAATCTTTGCTGCTGCATAACTGTTTCTATACAATTAGAGACTATACTGATTATCAAAAAGAAAAATGTTTATTTTAACAAAACAGTGATATATAATGAATTGGTTTACATTTGTATTGTATAATTTTTTTTAACGACTTAATATGTTTGTAACAAATAATGTACGTCAGCTTCCGGGTCAATGACCCCCATCTCGATAAGTTTTTTGTCCAGTTTTCCTGATCAATTTAGCAAATGCTGAGATTGCCCCTTGTTTTGCTTCTGGACGTAAATGTACTGTCACTATGCGCACGTTTTTTGAACTCTCCTTTTACTTGTAATGGTAAGAGTAGAGGTAAGGGCAAGTTGCTATTTTGTTAGCAATGCAGAAAAATCATACTTGCAATTCGTGTACCGATACAAATAAGTTTTCTATAACTCAGAAACGAAAATGACTATTTTTCAAATATTGCTAATCTTGGTATTTTTAAATTAAAAAAAAATATTAATTTGTTAAACTTTTACTCATCTTTCAACTATTTGTAGTTAAACTGACGGGAAGGGATTCTGGAACTCGAGAAAATGTGCACAGATAATCTTTTCCCCCCACGTCACATACAGTTTTTACTGCTTTTTTTACTGAATAAATCTAATATAATCTAAAGATCGGTTGCGCCTGAGAGCCGCAAAAGGTATGTACACTACTGAAATACTATAGGAGACGATAATTTTCCAGAATTGTCGTTGATACTGCCTTCAGCATAAGTTTGTTTTTTACTGTTTCACACCCAGATGATGACCCATTTCAGATTTCCAGCCCCATTTTCACTCTATGAAAGTGAGTAACACATGACAGTGCTTTCTGCGTTTGGCAGCAATTTTGCTTACCAATAACGAAGGCGATTTATTGGCAATAAAGAGGTTAGGAGGCTGGCGCTGAGGGGTATGCGGATGGCTCAGTGCGTAAGAACATTGAAATAACAATGCGATTAGTTGCGAAAATGGAAATCAGTCAACTTTCATTAAAAGCAACAATACCTGCCTTCATCAACATTCAGGTCCCATGTCATTCCTCCAGAGTATAATTCAATGGTACATTTCGAAATTGTAATTTTAATTTGTAGAAATAGTAAAGTAATGTGTTATCATGTTGAGTAATTTGCGCAGTGAACAATTCAAATAATTCAGTGATCAATTCATATTGTTTTTTCAGTTTGTCATTTGTTGTTATTTTCAATTTTATGTATTGTTTTAAAAGTAGTGAATTAAAACTTCTAAAAGTTACTCTTTTTAACTACTAACAGTACACTTTTTACAAGAGATTACAAGTATAGTTTATTTTCTCAAGGACCATGAGATAAATGATGATTTAGACAGCTGTAATGTATAAACGTTCTTTTCAGATTTTTCAACCAAAAGATAATCTCTCTTTCTATTTCTGGTTGTTCTATTTCTAGACAGCCTATCTGTTAGCAGTGACAACCTCCGTTTCAGCGTATCAAATACTGTTGTAGTGTCACATTTAGTTCATCTTGCTGAGAGTAGGCTGTCATTGTATTTGCAATGCAATCCACTAGTTTCTCCAATTCTGTTGATCGAATTCCACCGTCATAACTAATCATACGGGCATCTCAGTCTTTGAATGCTTCCAACAAGGTGTCTCTCGCAAGGTACCTGCAGCCGACCTCTTTGCTGCCTTCGTGTCGATTGTTCATAGTCTATTCCCAATGCTTTTACAACGGTAATTGCGGCAATTATGTCAAGATGGAGAGTTGCAGATCTTGCGCCACTCCAACTTTACCTGGAAGAACCTCACGGCTCATGATATCCAAAATTCGTGCCATTCTTCACTGATCTCATAATGGGGCTGGTCGCTTCGAATGGAAACATAATTTCTCTAATTCTAATTTTCCGCGTTTTTTACAGACTGTCATCACAAGTTGTCGTTGTGTATTTTGTGGAACTTTGGGTGATTCTGCGTTCTGGGTTACGAATCTTCTTCTTCATTATTTGTTTGATCATGTTTGACCTCCATTTTTATAGTTTAGAGATCTGGAGAGTAATATCATACGATTCTAATCTGCTGGTCTCTGTTCAGTTACAGAAAAATCGGGGAAACTGCAACAATTCGTTGGGCGACGTCTACCTGCATTCTGTCACATCTGTATCAATTTTTGATTCCGTAATATATGCCCATTTTTGTTTTATTAACGCCCGTTGACCATTTCGTGATTGGGCGAGCAAATGTTGTGGTACCTGCGCGGCACATTCACCAGGGGAGCCATCAGATGTGGTTTCCCTCCGTCCAGGCAGTAGCCCTTCGGGTATCCCGATCAGCACCTAATCTACACTGGCTTGCGCACTGTCGCCCCCCCTCCCAGCGGTGGCTCCAGAGTTGCCCCGACACTCCTCGGATAGCGGCAGCCTCATGTTTGCCGAGGTTTTTCTTCTAGCCCAAGTCATCTTCAAATCCCCAATGGGTGCGTTATATTCCTTATGTTAGGACCAACTGTATCCTTGCTCACTCAAGCTATGAGAGCCGCCGTTGATCACTTAATTGGCTCCTCGGACGACTCCCTAAGTACAAGCCT